TTAAATGTTTAACCCAACCTTCTGGGTAGTAACCCAACCGCTAGGTCAAAACAACCCAATTGCTGGGTTTGTCCCTATTTTACCCAGCACTGGGTTGTATTTAACCCAGCATTTTTTAGAGTGTACTTTTATGATTTCCCACAAAATATGTTTCTCCTTGTTCAATAAAGAGATATTTCTTTTTCTGCAATCTGGAGTAAAGCACATGTTGATGAAATTGTAAACTAAATGATGTGCATTAAATGAATAAATGTCCTGTGCATTAAAATTAGGGTTTATCTTATGTAGAACACATGGAGCTTTCCATAACACCACAGCCTGTGAGTAAAACTGCAAATCTATTAATGCAAAAACACTAATGCTGATTAACTAAGGGCTACAAGACCCTCATTAGTCCTGCCAAAAATGTGAACAGAACAAAGGACGTTTCATTCACAGTGCACTTAAGCTAGTGAGTCACGCCTCAAGCAATAAATAAAACAAATAAATAACACAAAATAAGACTGAAAACAAATGAAAGATTAACAATAAATTTAATAATTTAAAAACATTTTTATTTGTTTGTTTCTTCAATTTATAATCTCAAAAAAAAAGTTTTTACTAACCATTTTAATTCTAAAATATCTAAAACATATATATAACACAGCAGCTACTGAGCGTCTTTTAACATTGAGCTGCTCATGAGACGTTTCACCTTATTTTACCCCTGTGACCAGAGATTAACTTTAACAGTGCCTTGTTGTTAACTTTAACTGTTTAATTCCTTGTTCTCACATATCGTTCCAGAGAGGGGAAAAAAACAAAAAACTTTCAGGCTCTCAAGTGTCAAATGAGGACAAACTCTTTATGAATTACACTCTCTTTCTTTCTTTCTTTCTTTTCTTTCCCTCTTGCATTTTACCTCACTTAAATATCCAGACATCTCAGACAGTAGACTGACATTCAGGAAAGATCCACTACAATTTGGCCGTCAACAGTTATCCATATGATATTTCACGCCTCGGGAGTTTCGATCCAAATATATCATTACCCGAACCTCTCACAATCAAGCATTTTTTCCTCAAACATTGCAGAGGAAGCGTGTTTGAGTGAAGGATCCAGGTTGAGGAGAGTATCTGGCCTCCAGCAGGAATAAAAGGCTTTGATGAGCCGCTTTAACTGCTGGCACATTGATAACATACTGCAACAGCAGCTCCTCTGCGCTCGGTGTGATTGATTGCTGAAGGAGCTGCTACCCACTGCATTCTTTCACGTACCTGCTTCGGAGACGCATTACCTTACTTGCCCTCTACGGAGGCAATGTGGGATGTATTTGTTTGAGGAAATATTGTAATGGGAACAAAAAATTAATAAACTCCTGTCAGTCTGAACATCTTGAGTGAGGACTGATGCAACCTCAGGATAGTTAGTTGTGAAAAACCCAGTTTAAAATCATCAACTGGGAGGCTTTAACACAGCAGACTGAACTATACTAATTATTTAAAGAGAATCAAGATCACTTTGTTAAGAAATGGTAGACAGTTTAAACCGATGGACAAATTAAGCAGACAAATTAAAGGGTATTCATGACTGTGACATTTTATTGGAAATGAGAACATTATTGGTTTTAAGATACCAACCCCAAAGATTTCCCTAGCTTGATCACTATTAATTTCAGAAATTAATGAATTTACACAATATGCTACAATGCAACCGCAAAAAAAAAAAAAAAGGCTGTAATGTTTTTAAAGGTAAAGAATGTAAAAATGTAAAAACTTTAAATACATACACTGCTGTTTAAAATTTGGAGCCAGTCGTTTTAAATGTTTTTGAAAGAAGTCTCTTCTGCTCACCAAGGCTGCATTTATTTGATCAAATACAGTAAGAATTCAGAAATATTATTACAGTTAAAAAAACTGTTTTCTATGCGAATATATGTTAAAATGTCATTTATTTCTGTCATCAAAGCTGAATTTTCAGCAGCCATTTCTCCAGTAATGCTCTAAAGTTACTCCAAAGTTGTTGCCAAATTGCCAAAAAAAAAATCTAAATAACAGCATGGGAGTACAAAGCCGGTTCTTGTAGTTAAAAGAATAGTTCACCCCTAAATTTAAATTTGTCCTAATCTTTGTTTCTTCATCAGATTTGAAGAAATGTAGCATTGCATCACTTGCTCAGCAATGGATGCTCTGCAGTGAATGGGTGCCATCAGAATGAGAGTCCAAACAGCTGATAGAAACATCACAATAATCCACAAGTAATCCACACCACTCCAGTCCATCAGTTAATGTCTTGAGAAGACGAGAGCTGAGTGTTTGTAAGAAAATAAATCCATCATTAAAACGTTTTTAACTTCAAACCATTGCTTTCGGCTAAAATACGAGTCCATAATCCATAATAACGCTTTCTCCAGTGAAACTGTCTTGATGGATTTGTTTGTTACAAACACTCAGCTTTTGGCTTCTCAATACTTTAACTGGTGGACTGGAGTGGTGTGGATTGCTTGTGGATTATTGTGATGTTTTTATCAGCTGTTTGGACTCTCATTCTGACGGCACCCATTCACTGCAGAGCATCCATTGTTGAGCGAGTGATGCAATGCTACATTTCTCCAAATCTGACGAAGAAACAAACTCATCTTCATCTGCACGTCCCATAATGACTGAAACTACTGTGTATGCTTCTAAAGAAGTGTTTTCATCCCAGCTCATATTCAGCACGTCTGCAGATCCAGGAACACCGGCTGCACGTAACCCTGTTGTTCTCAGTATGAAAACAGCATGTTATATACTCACAACCCGCCCAACCCTTGCATGAAGGTTTATTTCCCAGAAAACACCTTCCACGCCAGGAATCATTCACAAACACCACAGGCCGTCAATGCCACAGACAACTAAATTGGGAAATGCGCTGACAGTACGAAGATAAATTGGCCCTCAATAACAAACCAGCGCTTTGTTTTATATCGCAGGCAAATC